TGTCCGTTGGAACGGGTCAGTCTACAGATAGTAGGCCCATTCTGGCCAGCCCAAGTGTGGTTCTCGGACGTCATATCACTCCTGGCAGGGCCTCCTTGGGAGATTCACCTCAGAGTTAAAATGGACTGCTTCACAGTTTCGTTTAGAACGCCTGGGTTTGACCTAGTTAAAGGGTTAGTTCACCCAAAAATGAAAATTAAGTCATTAATTACTCACCCCCATGCTGTTCCAACCCCGTAAGACCTTCGTTCATCTTCGGAACACAAATAAAGATATTTTTGATTGAATCTGAGAGCTGGATTAGTCCTACATAGACTGCCTAAGGGACTGGCTCTTGACGGCCCATAAAGTCATTAAAGAAAAGGTTTAAATATTCCATGTGCCTACAGCGGCTCAATTATAAGTTTATCAAGCGACGAGAATACTTTTTGTGTGAAAAAAACATAAATAACGACTTTATTCGACTATTCCATTACTTCCTTATGGGCGCATGCGCGAGAACTGAGACGAGGACGTTCTCCTTCGTCTACTTCTTGTTACCGGCTGCTCACCGCTTAGGAGTATTACCGCCACCTACTGTATACAGTGATGATCCATATATAAGGCGCTCCGGATTATAAGGAACACTGTCGTTTTTTGAGAAGATTAAAGGCTTTTAAGTGCACCTTATAGTGCGGAAAATACGCTAATTGAAAAGCGTATGTACAGCGCGCATCTTCCTCTGCTTGTAAACAGAAAGTTTTGCGCTTCCAGCTATATCAGCACATCATCTTATATGGTAGGGGGCGGTAAAACTCCTAAGCGGTGAGCAGCCGGTCACAAGAAGTGGTCGAATGAGAACGTCCTCGTCTCAGTTCTCGCGCATGCTCCCATAAGAAAGTAATGGAATAGTCGAATAAAGTCGTTATTTATGTTTTTTTCGCACAAAAAGTAGTCTCGTCGCTTGATATTAATTTACTTATAATTGAGCCGCTGTAGGCACATGGAATATTTAAACCTTTTCTTTAATGACTTTATGGGCCGTCAAGAGCCAGTCCCTTAGGCAGTCTATGTAGGACTGATCCAGCTCTCAGATTCAATCAAAAATATCTTTATTTGTGTTCCGAAGATGAACGAAGGTCTTACGGGGTTGGTACAGCATGGGGGTGAGTAATTAATGACTTAATTTTCATTTTTGGGTGAACTAACCCTTTAACTGCCCGGTGGCTTCAGTGCTGGAGTTCCTCTAAGGTCTCTTCTCTGCTAGTCTTACGCCATCCACATCTAATGTGGCACACTCTACGGTTCTTCAGGCTTTCCTGCACCATATGTGTCGGCGGAAGAGGAGAGACTTCATTTACACTGCCCTGTCAGAGCTCTAGAGTTTTAAGTTCAGAAGTCTTCTCAATGGAGAAAATCAGAGCAATTGTTAGTATGTATTGGGTTGCCCAGGAGGCCGATCCCTGGCCTCTAAGCAAACGATCAGCAATTGGATCATTTAGGCTATCTCTCTGGCCTTCCATGTGCATGGTTTGCCTTCCCCCTCTGGCCTTAAAGGAGAATTCTGGTATTTAGGACTTTGAGTCTATTGATATCTGTTTTGGATGAACTAGAGTGGTGGACAGAGAAATGTTGATGATGGGTCCTGTCTCAATTTTATGACTCTTTTAGAATCACCTTTGACCGCTTCAGAGTGGCTGTCTACTGGCATGCACAAACATCTCCCTAAAACAACCCTTAATGTTTGTTTTCAAAACTGTGCAACTCACAGAGTGGTTAGCGGTGTTTGTTGATGATTAAAAACAAATATATATATATATATATATATATATATATATATATCGATGCAATGAATGATTTTAATCTGTGTTATTTGCTATTAGTGGAACTATTTTTTTTCCAGATACCTCACAACCGCGTTAAAACTTGCCCTCGATATTTGAGTCTGAAGTGTTTGCACACTTCCTGACCACTTAATGGTAGCGCAGTAATATCAACGAGCAATGAGTCCTCCAACAGAAATCAATGCGATTTTACAAAATGCCAAATAAAATCTGAAAGAAACTGTATTTTACTACACTACTTGTTTTGGTACATCAATGATGTTGATGTTAGGAACATCAAAGCATGGGTCGGTGTGGCAAAGTAGGTACTTGTTCCCCAAAGCGTCATCATCGACGCATTGCATGTTCTCTTGACTTGCTTCAACCTATCAGAAGCTAACTCTGTTGTGTGCCCTTTGTATCTTCCTTGCAGACTGTCATGAAGTAGCATTTGAATGACACGGCAATTCTTATTTCCATTTTTGGCGTGCTATCAACACGCATTATTGCTTTTCAGCATGTTTTTGAACGCCGTTGACTTAACGTTATTACTTTATATATAAATATATGACCTACCTCAACCCCGTCCTTAAACCTACCCCCATCACTGGGGTTAATGGCATTTATGAATGTTCCCCAACCATCCTAGGAAAAAAAGATCGCTCCCCAGATGTAGATCTACGTTTTGCTTTGTTTCGCGTGGACATTTGACGGCGTGTACAGACAAGCGGAATCACTCGGACGTTAATGGTGTAGACATAACACGCTTACACGCGGATACACGCGGATAGCTCAAAATGCGTAGAGATAACACGCCACTTGACTCGAAAGTGTATGTTTACGCAAAAGTCATGATGTCATGTTGTTCCGTTTATGCCATCACATGCCACGCCAATATGCAGCACCAATCAAGATTGGACTAGTTTCAAACATGCTTCAGTGTCTTTCACGCTAAGGGAATTCCCCAAAATGTCATAATCTTATGAGCGATTGAGCAGTTTTTGACTCATTGAAATCAATTGTTTTAAAACAATGTTAAAAAAAAAAGATTGGTAACACTGACACTAGGCATAATGATTGCTTTTCATTTCAGATAATGGTGAAAAATATATATATTGGTGAATCTAGTTTTAGGCGAATAGACGGAAGTAGAAACCTAGACCAACCACTCCATCAGCCAGTAACCTTCTCTCCTCCTTCTCTCTACTAACCGAGGAAGAAGTGTCTAAATTACTCCTCTCCAGTTATCCTACCACCTACCCTCTAGACCCCATCCCCTCACACCTTCTACAAGCAATCTCTCCCACACTTCTACCGGCTCTCACACACATTATCAACTCTTCCCTACAAACTGGCTTTTTCCCTACAGCATTTAAACAGGCTCGGGTAACTCCACTGCTTAAAAATTCAACACTAAACACATCTCTCTTAGAGAATTAGAGACCTGTCTCTCTCCTACCATTCATTGGGAAAACGCTTGAATGAGTTGCTTTCAACCAAGTATCATCTTTCCTGTCTCTGAGCAACCAGCTGGATGTCAATCAATCAGGCTTCAAGAAAGGCCATTCAATCGAGACTGCATTGCTGTCAGTCACAGAAGCCCGTGGATCGGAAAAGCTGCTTCCAGATCATCAGTTCTCATTGTTCTGGACCTGTCTGCTGCCTTCGACATGGTGAATCATCAGATCCTTCTGTCCACTCTCTCATCACTCGGCCTCAATGGAACTTCCCTCCACTGGTTTAAGTCCTATCTCACTAGTAGGTCCTTCAGGGTCGCATGGAGAGCCGAGGTATCCAAAGCACATCAACTGACCACAGGGGTTCCCCAGGGTTCAGTGCTTGGATCCCTCCTCTTCTTCACTTACACCACATCACTGGGACCCATCATACAGGCACATGGTTTCTCTTACCATTGATATGCTGATGACACCCAGATCTACCTCTCATTTCAACCAGATGATCCCACAGTAACTGCACGTATCTCAAGCTGTCTGGCTGACATCTCGGCATGGATGAAGGAACATGCAGCTCAACCTGGCTAAGACTGAGCTTCTCGTCCTCCCTGCTAATCCATCTCTACAGCACGACTTCACTATCCAGCTAGATTCTTCTTCAATCACCCCATCAAGGTCGGTCAGAAATCTTGGAGTAATCTTTGATGAACAGCTGACCTTCTCAAACCATATTACAAAGACAGCTCGATCATGCAGGTTTGCAATGCACAACATCAGGAATATCAGGCCTTTCCTAACTGAGCAGGCGACACAGCTTCTTCTCAAGGCCCTGGTTATTTCTAGGCTTGATTACTGCAATGCTCTTCTGGATGAACTCCCATCATGTGCAACTAAGCCCCTACAAATAATCCAGAATGCTGTGGCTCATCTTGTCTTTAACAAGCCCAAAAGGGCCCACGTCACTCCTCTGTTCATCTCTCTGCACTGGCTGCCACTCACTGCTCGCATCAATTTCAAGGTGTTGACACTTGCTTACAGATTGACCACTGGCTCAGCTCCCTCTTACTTTCACTCGCTCCTACGAGTCTACATCCCTAGCAGAAGCCTACGTTATTGCCTCTTCATGATGACTTGTTTGATTTTGTCCTCAGATATAAGTCGCTTTGGATAAAAGTGTATACTAAATGACTAAATGTAAATGTAAGTAGTAACTGGTTTGGCATTGTTACAAAATCATAATTGTTTTGTGAACCTAAAGTGCAAAGGAAATGTTGTGCATTGACAAGTTTTTTGCTTGCAAACTCTTCCAATTTGAGGTACAGTTGTTGTAGCTTCAACTACTTCACCTGCGTATAGTAGTTGCTTTGCTTTCTTTCTTTTATTAAGGGATATGCTGTAAACACGTACAGTTTCTCGGAAAATCTGTCTCGGCAACTTTAAAATATAAATAAATATTATAGGCTTACCATTGTAATTTAGGGTAAGACAAATGCATGGTTTGTAAGGTTTTATGATGTTTTCACTTGTTAATTTTGAACTAAAAAAGTTACTAACATAGTTATAACATGATATCAGTATTTTTTTTTTAATATGATGGTTATATATTGATGTCTGTACATTGTAACATCCCAACTCAAAGCAATTGCTTTTGACTTTAACATATTTGGCTGTGGTTGTTTGAAAAAGAATGATACCAGAGACATTTGAGACTGCTGATACTCAAACTCTTGCTGTCTATTCACAGTGCCTGGAGCCATGCAAAGATTCTTGGGAGTTGAAAGATGGACCTTGTCGAGATTTATGTGAGGTACAGACTGCAGCATTCTTAACAGATATAGTAGTTTCTGGGATATGTTCTTAACAAGAAAAAAAAAATAATACAAAATGGCTGACCTTGATGTTCTGGTTTTCCAAATATTAATCCTCCATTGTTTTCTTGACAGACTTGGCTATAAGTGGTCTCCTATTGTTCAAAATTATAATGTTCTGCTCTGATCTTCTTTTTTAAAACAGTCTTAGAATCTGTTTGAACATTTCCATTTGGTCTTGAATCCTATTTCTGTGGATTTTCTACATTTTAAAAATCTTAGCCTAGTTACATCTAGTTTTTCCTAGTTCTTTGGTTATAAATGCAATGTTGAGGGCAATGGGGACTTAAAAAAATTAATATCGTTCTTGGATTTGTCAGTACTGATCAGGACCTTCATCAATTATTTTAGACTTGTATAAGAGTAAGCAACATTAAATCATTCACAACTTATGTAAATGTAAAATGTTATAATAATCTTCTTTTGAACAATGTGCCAAAGCAAGAAAAGCCATTCTCTGAAGCCAGCTGAAAAACAATGTAGCCATCACCTTTCATATAGGCTTAAACTACACATGAACATACAGTTTTATGCAGAACTTATACAGGATCATATTATTTTCCTGAAATAAATAAAACGTATAGTATGGTCACGTAATGATTACATTTTCATTAATATAATTGTCAATAATTATATTGGTAATATAATCTGGGATAGGCTCCATAATCCCTGCCCTACAAAGAATTATACAACAGTTCTTTCTGGTTCTCGAATCTGATTAGCTGAGACCCTTTTCCAGCTGTGCATTATTTACCCAGTATCAGAACTCTAACCGTTTCACCGTGTGTATTACTCCACTTGTGGTGACTGTCATGGCGGTCAAGCAAATCCACCTAACCATACTACGGTTGTTGTGTCATGAAATGTAGTTTTAAGAGTTTTTAGGTGCGAATGTAGTTATTTAGACCTCAAACATGCGACTAATATATAATCGGTGAATGTGATTTCACCAAGTACCACATGTTCCTGGATCACATTTTTGTTGATCCTGGATCAACTTTCCAATCAACCAGATTTGAGGAACAAGTTTACAGTTTATGTCAAGTTCAGGGTTAGAACCAGGGTGAAGTACTTAAACATCAGTGTTATTCAGATCAGTGTTATTCACCTTTCATTACCCTCGGATTAGGTTTAGGGGTAGGGATTGGTTAAGGACTACATTTTGGGACAGGAATATTGATCCAGGATCAACAAAATATGTTGATCCAGGACCATGTCTTACTTGGCAAAGTCACGGTGACCATACAGAATCATAGTGCCTATCTAACATTATGTTAGGATGCTTTCGCAGATGCGAGCTCCAGGCCGTCAGGAGCCGTTCAGCACTCATGCACCCGCAGAGAACAGTGTTATCTCGGCCAGTGCTTTGGGAATTTGCCGCTGCTGGTTGATATGAGATATAATTAATTTGGGGCATATCAAACTGGCAATCTTTGGTCTTGGTAATCTATTACTTGTTCCAGAGCAAATCTAATTTAGCTAAGGGGAAAATTAAGCATTTAGGCTATATTTAATTTAAATCCTGCTTTTAAGTTTGACTGAATTGTTTGCTTGTGTTTATTTCCTATTGTCTTTTATAATGGATATTGTTGTTAATTTAGATGTTATTGTTTATTTTATATAAATAATACATGTAATATTTGGTATAGAGAAATGGTCCGTTATATGGACTTCGGTGAAAGTTACAAAATGCCATGAGATTGCGGCAAAGACTGTCTTTATGAGTGAGTCAGAATTATGCTCAGAACAAGCAATTTGTTTGAGCACTCTCATGGGAAGGACAAACATAATGAATATAACGCTGTCCTCAGCGGATTTCACACTCATGGCTGTACGATACGGCTGTATATCAGCATGCTGTGATTACCTACGACTGAATCACAGCCATGCTGGTATAGACCTTATGTAGCCCCACCCCTTTTCAGCGCTGCGCTCGTTGTCTTTTGTCTTCCGGTCTGTATTTTCATAGTGATCTTTCCTATTTATGAATGAACGGCTCGTTTTAAAATCTTCCCTGTCTATTGACATTTGTTAAGACATCTGCCTTAAACATTACAATCCTCATTATAACTTTCGTTAACTTTACATTAAGTAAATCAACTTCAAAAGCTAATTACTCCTGGACAGCAATGCCATAGAGATACAGAGCAACCGCAAAAACGGAAGTTCGAAGACAATATTCTAAAGATGGCGGTGCCCTTGTTTCTCTGGTGCATAAGGTCTATACAGCCATATCGCACGCCACGAGTCTGAGCAATATCACACGACAATAAAAAAATAATTTATAAAAAGCAAACAATGAAGTCAAATGTACAAAAGCAAAACTCCAGAACAGGATTTGAGTTAAATATAGCCTTAATATAAGCTTATTTTCCACTTAGCCAAAGATTGTCCATTCGATATGCCCCAAATTAATTATATCTCTTGTTTACTATCTACATAAGTACCAATGGCAAATTTCTGAAGACTGAAGCTGTTCTCTGTGAGTGCTGAATGCTGCTGATGGACTGGAGCTCACATCCGTGAAAGTGTCTAAACAAATTGTTAAATAGGCAAAGAGTAATACATGAGTCACACAAATTGTAGGTCTAAAAAACTACATTCTTGCATAAAAAAACCTTTAAAAATACATTTCCTCCTGACACGACAACAGTAGTATTTTTTTCTTTAATATGGTGGATTTGCACGTCTGCCATGGCAGTAGTGATACAAATGGTGAAACCGTATTAAAATATATTATAAAATTTCCATGGTTTATTTAACTATTATATTAACATTTTTGCGTATAATGTGCAACGTTTCATAAATCAATATTTAAGTGTGAAAGTGTCTATGTGAGAATGCACAAAAGTTTTATGTACAAATACATACTGCACATAGAAATGGTTCGAGAATGAGACCAAAAGTGTATTTTAAAAATCCATAGACAAATTAATGTCACATAAATGAATTGCTTTAATCTATAAACTATGAGTTACAGGTGTTAAACTTTGGTCCTGTACACTATGACATCTCCTCAGCATGCGTTTCCCAAGCGTCATGGGGAGTGTGTGACGAGCTGTGAGTTCCTGCGATCAGTGATGGTGGTGAAACAGGGTGACTGTCCACCACCAGAAAGAGCTAGCGGGTTTGCAGCCGCTTGTGTGGAAGGATGTGAAGAAGATGGGGAGTGTTCAACCCAGAAGAAATGCTGCCCAAACGGCTGTGGACACACATGCCAGTCACCTAAGAACCTCTATAGGGGTAAGACTTGCTACCAAACCTGATGGTAAACAGCTGGTTTAACCCAGTTACCAATTAATTTTTAACCTCAGCTGTGGTTAATACCAACTGATAACTGTACCTTTTTTTCTTTCACCTGGAACGACTTGCAGCTTATTGATTAAAAACCACTCAAATAGTTAAAAATCTTAGAATTAATACTTCATCATGCATGTAGGGCAGTGGTTCTCAACCAAAGATCTTTGCAGCAGGGCTTAAAGTATTCCGGCACCGTGCCAGATCTCCGGCGTACAGGCGTGAGGGAAAAAAAAAAGTGAACTTGCATGCGGTTTAATATTTTCGAGTCAATTGATTTCACCTACCAATCATATGAGAGGAACGCAGCTCTAACACGTTACAAGCCTATCAGAAGTAGAGCAGGGCGGGTCCAAGCGACACAGTGGGATAGATGGAGATCCGTGCGTCACGTTAGCGGCGTTGGTGAAAGCATGGAGCGCAAATTCATAAAGTCCTGATAATATGATAATATCCTCTTAATATGTAATATCCTATAATGTATAATATCCTCAGGTGCTCCTCTAAAGCCAAGGAAGGAGCTGGTCTTTGTGGAGCTGGAGTCGGGTTTGCTGGAAGTGCGCTGGTCCTCCAAGTTTAATGTGTCAGCGGACCCAGTGCTGAACGTTCTGCAGAGGAGGTGGAACTATGGCATCCACCCCAGTGAAGATGGAGCCACTGATTGGCAAGTGGTGGCACGGGTAAGTGTGAAATAACATAATATAATATAATATAATATAATACAGTACTCAACATTTGAAGTGGATCAAAAAAGTTTATCAAAGATATTAACCTAAGACAAGAACGGGCGTTGTTCAAAATTCATGTATAACGTTGATGAAAGATTTTAATCCTTAATCAATCAAATGTTACTATAATATAATAATATCTGTAATCATAAACATCATAAACTTTGTAAATACATTTATATGATGTAGGCCAACTTCACTTGGGGTCTTTGACTCCCTTCAGTGATTTATATGCTCACTCCTACGCTCTGTGGTTCTGTACTGTAGACATCAGAAGAGCGTGTGTGGTTGACAGACATTCGACCCGGTCGCTGGTACCAGTTCAGAGTGGCAGCAGTCAATGTTCATGGAACAAGAGGATATACCACCCCCAGCAGACACTTCAGATCCTCTAAAGGTTGGATCAAGAGACTGTAATATTAGTAATATTAATATAATTTATTATTCTTTCTCAGATTATTAAATGATATGTCGACCGTACTGTTTTTGTACTGTAGAGTAACTTTTATTTCTTTATTTCACCCCCTCTCAGATCCTGCCCCTCCCACGGCTCCATCTGAACTTCATGTCAGCGACATGACCTTTGGTGCAGATCGCTCTGTGTCTGTCCGCCTCAGCTGGAGCATGTCTGCAGATTTAGACATTCCTGTTAACCATTACAAACTCTCCTGGAGCTGGTCTGACCACACAATGCCACCCAAACTCAAAAGGAGACAGACTGCAAATGGGGTAATTCTGACTTGCCCATGCCTCTGCACATTCTCTTTTTCTCTCAGTCATTCACTATTTAATTTTCTCATACACTGAATTGTTCCCAAACCCCTCAAGGGTTAAGCTTCCCAGTCCCTTCTTTCAGCAAGCCACAACAAATTAGATATCTTAGTGCAAGATAAACAACTCAGGATTGGGCCTTTGATCACACCAAGCCCTAAATTTGAGGGCTACAGACACCAAACTAGGGTGGTACAGCATTGCATCACCGTTCTTGGCAAATGCAAACATTTATGGGTGCCATTTGATATACAGCCAAAAACAGCATATCAATTCTAGTTGTCTTGAGAAAAGGAAATCTCTCAATAACAGCTGAATTGTTTTTCTTTGTATGAGATCATGTTGAAGAGTTTATTTTTTCCTCCATTAGGAATCCAAGAGATGGCAGTTGCCTTTATATTTTTGAAGGCTTTGTCAGCTGAGGGACGCTTTCCTCAGAAAACTACATTTCTAAATAGTTGCTGTATGAATGCAGACAAATGCAAACCACACTTTTGGCCTCTGTAAGATGATAGGAGAAAATATGCTTCAGATTGATTTTAAACAGATTACTCTTGTGCACAATGATTATAAGATTATAAAAACAAAATCTGCATAAAAATGATGCATATTGCTATGATTTATGTGATTAATAGTAGTTTTATTAATAACGTGACTTAGCTACAGTATCAGATCTCATGTTAAAGCAGGGGAATCTAATATGGCCTATCTACAAACTTTTGAACGGTAGTTTAGTTTGCATACTAAATTATGTATGGCATTGAGCAGTTCAGAATCTCGTTGAAACTAAATCTATGCGTGACTCTTTCCCAGGGCAACCCAATTCATTTTCCCACTTTGATTTCAGAGATGCTCACAGCGATAATGGACCATATATAAGGAAAGAATTTTAGTGGCAAAAAAATTATTAAATAAATATAATGCACTAATACTAATTTGATGATGACAGAGTTTGACTGAGCAGCAGGCCCTGTTTATTGACATCTAAACTTTAATGTCCACGGTACCTATCCATTGCACAAAAAGTTCTTTATAGTAGAAAAAAAGTTAATAAGATCATTAAAATGTTCCTCACACTAAGAAAAATAACGGTTCTTTTTAGAAGTGATGGCCTAACTTCAATTTCATGTTCATCTTGGATTGGATTGGATTGGATTAGCCTTTATTGTCTCCTAATGGAGAAATTCATCTTTGGCCTTCAGGAAACAGATGCAACACAGTATACATTATACATAACACATAACACACAAACATGAATTACAGATTATATTAATGTTAATCTTCAGTTATGCTTCCAGAGACTTATTAAATCTACTTAAGTTATCCAGGTCAGACCAATGAGTGGGTTTCTCTTTTTTTAATTTGATTAATATTCCCTAATTATTTCATGTGCAAAGTAAACGCAAGGTCTCTGGTGACTGAAAATAGCAAATTGCTCTCAATATTGGTTAATAAAACAGCTAAATTTGATTCTGGGTTATGTCCAAAAGCACATATGCTCTTTTTGTGATTAGGCTTCATCAAGGATTAACTAATAAAATATGATTAGCTTGTATGTGTAATGTGATGTTTTGTATGGCCCTCGAGCCTCAACGTACAATCAGTTTGACACCTCTGGATTGCCAGGTAGTTAACAATTCCATGTGGGCTTACCTTCTATTTTCATATAGGTACATTGATCCTTCCTTTTTTCGTTCTATCTTTTTCTTTTGGATTTGCATCGCTGTGACTTATCAAATGCATCCCTGTGGGTTTTATGTGTGTCTGTGTAGGACTCTACCTATGCTGAGCTGGATGACTTGGGAGAGAACAGGAGTTACACTGTGGAGTTGCAGGCAGTTTCATACTGGGGTCAGGTCCCCATCAAGAGCCCCAAGGCCATTCTTCAGTTTACTACAAGCCAAAGACAATCTGGTACAAAACGATTTAATTGCTCTTCATTTGTACTTGATACATAACAGCACTCATTTGGGTGTTGTGAAATACAGTGAAAACAGCTGTAAATGTTTTGAATTTGTAACGTTATACCTTTCCTCCATATTTGATGTCTTTAGTTTTGGAACCCACAGTCAGCACGGTCTTTATAAATGACCAGTCAGATCTATTAGACGTGGGCACTCCGTTCTATCAAGATGGACAGCTTCAGGTCCGGGTTTACTGGAAAAAGACAGGTACTACAGATGCAATATACCATGTCTTTTATCTGGGAAACAGTCCTGTTCTGTGCTGGATATCTTTCTTTTTGTGCTTATTAAAGAGTTAACGATCAGAATATGTGTAATTAAATGAAGAACAATAACTCTTTGTTTGTGAAGAGATAAGAACTACTGAAGTAAGTGAGGACCTGTTTGTGTGCTAACATGAGCTGACAAGACATGTCTCTGCCTAACTTTGCATGCTGCAAATTACATTTAAACTGTTTCATTCTGTCAGTGAGTGATGAGTTAATCCTACATTAAACTCAAAAATGAAAGCTGTCATAGAAACAAAAACATTTCATTCATGCCAAGCCATGCAAAATGTTGCTCAAAATCTTCTCCTTGACCTCAGCAAGGATGTTTTTTTGTTTGTTTTGTTTTTTAAATATTTAAATAACTTTAGACTCACACTGGCCACATGTCAAATCCCTTAATCTCTCTAATGGATTTCCCACAGATTTACATCATACTAATCTGTTAGGCACATTATCAAGATTGCTTTACTTTGCATATTTTCAAGCATGAAGGTCTAAATAGATCATTACTGATGATTACCAGTGAATCATTAACTGTTCATTAACTGAAAAAAATAACACTTAAACATGTATTTAATTACATGTGTAAAAACACATACTTTAAAAAAAAAAAAAACATTTAAGTAAACCAATTACATGTTAAGAATTTTAAATAGGCTATATACAATAATATAGCTTCAAAATATAAAAGCTAGTAAATAAAGAGAAACAAAAAAGCATTACAAGCAATAAACAAAGAGTGGTCTCAGTATTTAAAAGTAGGCTGTCTGAATGTTTATCATTCAAGAGGTGGAGTGATTTCCCCCTCAGTTTAGATATGATAAGCTGCATTCACACTAATGCACATATCTCTTTTAAAATTGTAATATAACTGACCGTGTTTACATTAATTTCGCGTCATAAAAGCATTTTGACATGCGTACATTTAACCAGTGAGTCGCTCACGGCCGCATGCACGAGCGCTCATCACAAAGCGTGGGTTAGTATTTTAAAATGAAAGCAGCCTTCAGTGATTTTCATAGTTTTAATATACAAGCCAACTGCATTCCAAAAGACATAAATAATGCCTCTGTGAAGCATTTGTAAGGAAAATTCCCGCGGGAGAGAACGTGCACTGCAAGAGCAACGTTATAACGTCAAGCAAAGCGACAAAACCTGTTCAATGAAGCCCATGAATGTCCTTGTAATTCGGTTCAACCCTGAACTTTATGAAATAACGTTAAGTTTCGGAAGGTTCGAGTGGTGTCGTTTGTGTGCGTGTGTGTGAGTTAGGAAGAGAGAGAGAGAAAGAGAGAATAGAAGCAAGCGGGTTCGTTTCTAAAGCACGTGCAGCGTCATCACGCATCTGTGTTTAAAAACTAAGCTCAGGCTCGATTCTGAAATTCTCTGAATCGATCCAGGATTGTTGGGGAGAGAATAAATAACACAATATCACATACATTAAAAATAAACTGTTCTTTTCTGAATGCCAGACCACGTAGGGTGGCAAGTTGATGCTTGATCTTGCAGACTGCTTTGTGGTTTTCTCTCGCGTGTCACGTGACCAGTGCGATTTTATCGCAAATGCAATTAATCGTTCAGTCCTAACATGAACACACCGAGAGAACTACAGGCGACTGTCAGCTATAATGTGCGTTCTGCGCCTGCGTGTGCCGTGTAATGAGCTGTAACAAGGTTCAGGGAAGAAGGAGGCAGGAACCGGATCATAATAATAAAATAAAACTTTATTTAAACAAAATAAACAAACAAATTACCTGCCAGCAGCCCCTCACGGAAGACTGCTGGCTACCGAAAATAAAATATAAAATACCGGCCAGCAGCCCCTCACGGACGACTGCTGGCTTACCAAATAAAATACAAACAAAAGCAGGCCTGTTCCTCTCTCGATCATCCACTCCGTCGCTCTCCCTTTATGGCTCCGCTCCTTCGTGAGAGATGCGAGACCGGTGTGCTTCACAGGTGCTGCTCATTAGCAATCGCACCACCGGCCTCGCGACTTTCTCTCACGTCCCTCGGCCGTCCTGCTCACCACATGAGCCAACTGTCTATTTCTGCAGATATATTAGTCCATGTTCATCATTCAAAAAGGAAAACCGACACTGCCGGCTGCAAACACACACACCGTAAACAAAGCAGCGCATGCTTACCGTTTTGAATATCAATCACTTCCTTTATTCCTCTCCGCTCAAATTAAAATTGAAATATTCGCCAAGGTAAGATGACGTTACATAAGAACAGCCAAAAGTTTGACTTCTTTGCTTGCTGTTTTGATTTTATTCTCGTGCACTGACTCTTTCACTAAGCTGAACAGCCAATCAGAGTTCTCTCTTTACCCGACGGCCCGACGCTGATTCAATATTGGCTTTGTTTCGTCGAATCGGCCGAAACAAAGCCGAGGAGGACTATTTTCAGCCGACGGCACGGAACCGTGCGGAACACACCGAGGAAACTTAGTCGGCCAACACACAAAAACTGCCAGAGAGCCGACCGTTGGCTTGGTGTGTTCCGGGCTTTACCCGTATGCCGTATCCCAACTCAAAAGTATTTTGCAATACAACATAAAAACAATACGTACATTGTACTTTGTTTTTGATGCAAGTACAAAATAATTATAGACTCCTAATATAAACATAACTTCAGATGTATTGAAAGCCCAGATAGCAAACTGACATTAAATCAACGTGGAAACATGACATCGAAACAACGTTGATCTGACATTGTTTTGCTCATCGAATTAACGTTGAACCAACGTCAGACGCGTCATTCTTTCAAAACTAGCGGAAAATCAACTTGAAATCAACGTTGTTTCAACGTTATGAAAGCAAACCAATTTTCGATTTTCATTTAGCTTTGAAGAATGCCGCGTCTGACGTTGGTTCAACGTTAATTCGATGAGCAAAATCAACGTTGTTTCGATGTCATGAGAGACGTCGTTTCCACGTTGATTCAATGTCAGTTTGCTGTCTGGGAGGGATCATTCACCCTGACATAATTTACTTGCTATGTTGTGACAAACGAGATAGTGTGTGTTTTTTTTTTTCTTTTTACACAAAATAAGATATTTTGAAAGCCAAAAACACTGCTGACTTTCATTGTATTATTATTTGTATGCATACAGTTTTGGAATGACATGGGGATGTTAATTGAGATTTTTAATTGTTGCATGAACGACAGTATCATACAAGAAACAGTGCTGATATTTAGTACACACTAGAACAATTGGATGTGTGAAATTGCTGAGATATAAAATAGTAACAAATAAATAGTATAATATAAACAAATTAGTCCAGTTAGTTCATATACTGTAATCCTTCTCAGCCAACCCATAGAAATAGTTCCAAACAAAAGCAAAGCATCAAGGTGTGTCACCAAAAAAAGCACAGACTGGAAGCCGTTCTGGAACAGCATATGAGTGGAACAAACTTCCCGTCCCCCACTCAAAGTGCTCCTTAATCTGAATCTGGCATTTATCTGTCTCTCCTTTTCAGATCCCATGGTGAATCGTTACCGTGTGCAGTGGTCTCCAGAATTCTGCAGTCACAATGGATCCAGAACCCAGGAGAAGCTCATCACCCAGGTAACCAACCAGGAATGTGTCTTCCATCCTCCCTACAGATGCGAGGCCGCATTCTGACAGCTCATACATAAGATGAATTTCTGGGGAGAGGGTTCATGTGGTGTTCATTGATCATTCATGGCAGATAACTCACCATTTTTAAGGCATATACAAATTCCAGAAATATTTATTTACTACATTTCTGAGAAATATGAGACAAAGTATTATTTTAAACATCTTTAATATTTAGATTTTCATCAATGAAATTGTTTCTTTTACAAAGTAAGAATCTATATTAAAATCTATGACACACTCAAAGGGGAAATTTTATTTTTTTTTAGCATGAAAATTAATCTTTCTTGACATATAGAAAACATGAACTATAGATTTTCCCATTGAGGCCCACAGCTATGCTGGATTTGTTGATAGGTGATCAGTCATCATATTTCTCCTTGAATTCTTTTTAGTGGAGTTGGAACAAAGATTTTTTTTTTTTTTCAGGAGAATTTTGCTAGCCTTCCTGGTCTTCAGTTCTCTTGCAAGTATAAGGTGATTATCCAGCCTGTCGGAACAAAGGGTCGAGCCCAGGCTGAAAGCACAAACTTCTACACCCCTTCCTGTGCTACCATCCAGAGCAAGAGTCCCAAACCCATCCCCTGCTCTACAGTCTCAGGTGAATCTGAGCTTTAAAAAAAATTGTATTGTATTGCTACAATTCATTAACGTAATCTACAAAACCATTTATGAGATATGTTGGATCAAACTTGTAGGTCGATGTATAAGAATGTCCAACAATCAAGCCACTCCAAACTATGAAACATTCTTCTTACCATATCGTTGCTGTCCGATGAAAACCGCGTATGTCCATTTTGCCGATTTTGAGATTTTTTGACGGATAGAATGTCCAGGTTCATTTCCATATACAGCATGCTTCACATTATCTAAATGACCAATGAAAAGTTGTGATTTCCATCGTATTTCCATTTGCTGTCAAATCTGTCAATCGCGCAGCGCATCTCCCCGCCCTGTGGAGGCATCTCGCCGGTCTCGTGAAGTTTCTCGCCGGTCTCGTCTCTGAGACCCCATTTACACCTGGTATTGAAATGCGATCTGTATGCAGATAAGTTATCCAGATAATAAAAAAGGCATGTTAATGCAAGGTGTAAATACGTTGTGATCGGATCTGCCTGACCATCTGGAGGTAGTCTGGCTCGCATTGTGTTCGGATCTTTACTAGGTGTAAACGCAATCTGGTTGTTGAAACCACATATGTATATTTTACTCCTCCCAAAAATGCTAAAAAATAAATGAGTGAGAGCGTTATATAGGCTATATGACATGTTATAGTCAGATATGACGGCGCTACTGCGACACGCATCACCGCAGATGAGCAGCTGAGCGTCTATTCATCAAGCCAGCATCCAAACATCGCAAATAAAAGTGAAAGTAAGTCACAGATGCTTAATCATCTTCACAATCACACAATCATCTTCAAGTAAAGAAACTAAATGATCTTACTGCCACTCTCTCTTATTGATGTATGTCTTTGATTTTGAAATTAGCTGATGATCAATAAAATGCAGCTCATATCTGTAATAAAATGCAGCTCATATCCGACAAAATTACGGTAGAATTGTGTAAATAAAGTATCAGTCTAGCATCGCCATGTCAGTGTATTGATTCATTGTCTCTTCATAGTTTGCAAGAGTAAACTGAGCGTATTTGATAAACTGAGCGTTGCCTATTCATCTGTCAATATGAAACACGATTTGGTCATTCTAATTAATGATCGGAAGAACGCGTATCGACCACCGTTACTGTACAATATGCACGTATGTCCATTTAAACTCGATTTTGGGTCAAATGTGGATTATATCATGACACTGGCAAGAATATGGTTACGTTTAAAGATGTTGTGCCAAGCATGACAACGCTTTGTTCAGCTGCTTTTGAAATTACATGTTTTTTTCACTTCCGGAAAAGTAACCGTTTTGAGTTTCATCGGGCAGCGATGATATTATACATATTTACATGTGATCAGATATCAACAAACACTGTATTTAATAGTGAACAGGTCTAAACATTATAATATTCACCATGAATAAACATTCATACAATCCTACTGTTATATTGTGCTGTGTTTAATTATCGAACATAAACATTCCTGTGTCCATGCAGGCCTATATACATTTAGCATTAGGCTTCATGTTTTTATTCCAATCACAATTCATAAAATAAATTTTAGTCTGGCACCAGTTTAACTAGTAGCTAAAATGCAAAGTTTATGCAACAATGGTAGCAAACATGCTACTATTAGTGTCTTACCTTAAAATTGTTCTCATAATCAAATTGTGTTTTTTTAATTCTTCTGAGGTAAATCCAAGGTAAACAGCACAGCACAAACACAGTCTTCCAAACTCGATGAAAGGCAGAGCAGTACTGAAGTCGCTGATTCTTTGTTTTAAGATGATGAGGGTGGTAACAGCTTTGCATTTGTCTGCGTGGATCATTTGCATGTGAACAGCTCTTGCACGCTTGGGTGTGGTTACATTAGCGCTAATCGCCTTTGGCTGGAGAAACTATGTCGTTGCTTTCATACGAATTACTTAAAAAGATAATATTTGTTTTTGATATGATTTACAAAAATGAAGACTTAAGGCTTCCTAAAGACATGTTGGATGCATCGTATGCATCGTACCATTTCCCTAGGCACTTAATTGGGTTTTCCTCAATTGATGGGATCATCTCCCACTGCACTCGCAACTGAAACTTGCTGGTCACTTTCCCGCTTCTGATCACCATACTTTTTGATTTCCTTGGTTTGAACTTCATCCTAGCCCATGTTACCACATCATCAAGTGCCTTCAGAATCCATCTTGCTTGCACATGGGTTGAAGTTGTTATGGTAAAGTCATCCATAAAGCCTCTTATCTGAGGTTGTCGGATGCGGGACTTCATTGCTGGCCCTCTTGATTCCTTTCCTGCAGCTGTTATAAGCAGGTTCATTCCCATGACAAAAAGGATGGGGGAGATGGTACAACCTGTCACTGTTAAGTTGAATTTGAGAGAAAGAAAAAAAAAGGAAAAAAAAGAGACATGGTTAAAAAGTATAAATTCATCATTGGTAAAGAAGATTTAAGATCAAAATGAGTGCAGCCTATTGGTTGGGAGCACATGGTGCAACCTGGGAGAATCAAGGTAGCTGATTGGTCATTGAAACTCCACATCTCCAACTCCACCAGGTGTGTGTGATTACTGGGAGCAAGAGGGAACTTTGTTTGCAGTAAATGTGCTTCTCCTACTGAATTTGGTGGGTTTTGGTGTTCAAAATACCAAAGGAGAAAGACTGTTGAAAAGCCACAATGTTTCATCAACTTTGAGATGCAACTGGTAGGACAAAGACTTATTTTTATTTAATGACTACATATTTTGTGTATGTTTGAAAGGTGTTTAATGCTAGTAGCTTAGCATTTTACTTTCTAACTGCATAACAAGCTTCTTTATTTACATTGCTGTTGAGTTGCTGTGTAAATTGTGAATGTTTGACAATGGTGTTTGTACTTTTGTTGCACTTTGTAGTGACTCGTATCACATATCTGTTTCTGTGTAGGTTATTAAGCTAACCTTCTGGAATTATCATTGAGACAAGTACAAAAGAAGATCTAGTCAATGATGAGAGATTTTCAATAAACTGCTTCTATGATGAAGAACCAGATGGTTTGAGTTATTCCATGCACCTTCAGAGTTGATTGAGGCCTTTTTCAAGTTTGGGCAGACATTGAGGCAAAGAAAAACCCAGATAACTTGACACTTAATAACCAGCGCTTGTGGATAAGAAGATTAAAGGCTTCCGATGGTCCAGAAAGTAAAGGTGGTGTGAAGGAATCAACATTGTCAAAACAAGTCATCAGTAAATTGAGGTGTTTAAGAAGACGTATCTTTGTGACTTGAAACAAGATGGCAGAAGAAGCTTTGGGGAAAACAGTGGACCAACTTAAGAGAGAGAGAACCACTGCAAAGATGTGTGTTACAAAGCAAGCCAATCTTCTCATTCGAGAGTCAAGCCAAATGATTGAGTCTGAACTCAGGAAGGAATTCCAGAAACTCTCTTCTAGTGCAAGAGCACTTTTTGATGCAAATGATGACTATAACATGGGATTGCTGGCAGAGCTGGAAGCTAAAGCAAAGAGTGATGAGAAAGTGGAGCTTGAAATGCAGCAGGTAGCAGATATTGAGAAGACTGTTAATGATTGTGAGACAAAGCTCGAAGAGGTGCGAAAAATCGTCCAAATCAACTTGTGGCAGAGGTATGGCCAAGAGGAATTGACTGTTGCAGTCCAGGAAGCTGAGAAAGCTTGTGATCATTCTGCTTCAATACCTGTTGCTGGTGTCAATTGTGAAGGATATGAAGTTCATCTAATTCACATGGAAAAGCTTGTGAGTAGAGCAGTCAAAACACTATCCAGCTGGGAGCGATGGATTCCTACAGGAGAGAAGAAGGACTTTGAGAGCAGAGTAAAGAGGTTAAAAGTAGAGAATAATGGACTTGTTTCAAGAAAATAGCGAGTTTATTACTGCACGTAATGCTGAAAGAAGTTCTCAATTTGCAGGTCCTTTAGACCCAAACACGGGTCTTCAAACAGTGCCAATTACACCAGTTGTGAGGATAAGACCAACAAGTTTGCCTAGATTTGGTGGTATGAAAAGAGATTTCTTCCGTTGGAAGAAGGACTGGGAAAGTTTGCAAAAACAAGGTGAACCAACTGGATCAGTAGAGGTCAAGAAAATCCAGCTCCTGGACAGTTTGGATGAAAGAATCGTTAAGGACCTAAGGCTGTCAAGTTACAGCAACGGAGAGGATGTGTTTCGAGTGCTGGAAAATCGATTTGGCAACAAAGGTAACAATTGCCATGGAAATTATTGAAGAACTGGAGAGATTTCCGAGTGTGAAGGCAATCAACCCAGAAAAGTGATAGACTTGATCCAGACTGTAGAAAAAGCTCTATCTGACCTGACAGATCTGGGGAACATTGGTGCAATTAAGAACCCTCTTGTAATCAAGTCTATTGAGAGTAAACTGCCTGAATTTGTAAAAAGAGACTGGCTTTTCTTCATGATTGACCCTAACAATGGTGTGACTCCAGAAAATCACTTTGACCTCCTGTTGGAGTTTTTAAGAAGACAGGAAGATGTTCTTGAGAAACTTGAACAGCTCAGAGTCACAGAAAAGGTAGATAAATCTGAAAATAGATTTGAAAGGAGGTATGCATCTACAAAATCCACGAAGAAAGAGCATAGGGGCAGCTTGTGAACCGATGTGTGGAGCTTGTCGCTGTGGGAACTGTCAGCCAGGTGGTAAGGAGATGACACTGGTAGAGGAGAGAGAACTCGAAATTATAAAAGGGTGTCTTACCTATCTAGAAAATGATGCTCACAGCAAGTCTCCTCATTGACACGCAAAATATCCCTGGACTGAAAATCCAGCTTCCCTTCCCAATAATAGAAGTGGAGTAGAGGCAACATTTTTGAGAACGGAAAAGCAGCTCAAGAGGGAGCCAGAGTGGAAAGTCGCTTATACAGCTCAAATTCATGAAATGGTGGAACGCGGAGCAGCAATCAAGCTCACTGAAGATGCAATTAATTCCTGGAATGGACCAGTATGGTATGTGAGTCACCTGATTGCACCAAATCCTCACTCCGTTACGACTCCAGTGCGCTTGGTATGGAACAGCAGTCAGAAATTTAGAGGAGTAAGTTTGAATGATCTTCTTCTGAAAGGCCCAGATTTTCTTAATCCAATCAGAGCTGTACTTCTGAGGTTTAGGAGAGGAGTGTATGCTGTCCTTGGAGATATCAGGAAGATGTATAACTCTGTATGGCTGGAGGAGAAAGAAATGCATCTACATAGGTTTCTGTGGAGAGATGATCAGAGTGAAGAAATAGGAGAATATGCAATCACCAGAGTTAACATCGGTGATCGACCGGCAGGGTGCATTGCACAGTTGGCCATGCGTGAAACTGCAAAGCTGACTAAGTTTTCTCATCTACATGAAGAGCGCAAAGTCATCGAAGAGGATAGTTATGTGGATGATATTCTGACTTCCCACAATGATCGGAAACAGCTGGACAAAATAACCGAAGGTGTTGAGGAGATCTTAAGAGCTGGAGGGTTTTTCTTGAAGCACTGGATTCGGTCAGAAGAAAGTTGGAAGCCTGGTGATGGTGAGTCAGTAGAGGCAACAGAAGAAGACAGAATTCTAAAACTTCCAAACCAGCTGAGGGATAAAGACAACAAGGCCCTTGGAGTTGGGTATCTGGCAGAAAAGGATACACTTTACATCATGACATCAATTAACTTTTCCAAGCGAAAGAAGAAAATGAGGATCGGACAAAACCTCCTCAAAGAGGAGGTCAGGACCAAGACTCCTAATCCTCTGACCAGAAGAATGCTACTGAGTCAGGTGGCAGGATTGTATGATCCGATTGGCCTGGTCACACCGGTTAAGCAAAAAGGGGCCATCCTTGTACGAAAGGCATTTCAGGAGGCAGGACGTGGAAAGTTGGCCAAAGATACATGGGATGAACCACTGTCAGAAAACCTCAGAGAAGAAGCTATTGAAGTGTTTGAGGAGTATGTTCACCTAAGCAAGGTAACGTTTCCCAGAGGCATAACACCTAGAGGCTGGAAAGGAAAACCGTTGGGAATCACGTTCTCTGATGGAAGCGATAAGACCTATGGAGCTGTAACATATTTCAGGTGGGAAACAGACCAGGGTATTGAAGTGAGGCTAATTGAGTCCAAGGCCAAATTGACTCCTTTGGATCAAAAAGGGGAAGCAGTCAAGGCTGAGATGTGTGGTGCAGTTTATGCAGCAAGACTTAAGAAATATATTGAGAAACATTGCCAAGTGGAAATTGACCAATGGTTCCATTTGGTGGACAGCCAAACAGTGTTGGGAGCTATTCAACGGGCTAGCTATGGCTACCAGTCCTTCTTTGCCAATAGGATTGGAGAGATCCAGAGAACAACGCTAGTTAAGGATTGGTGGTGGATCCCAGGTGACTTAAACATTGCGGATATTATCACAAGGGGAGGTAGTCCAGAAGGCCTAAAACAAGATTCTGCATGGCAGAGAGGGCCTGTGTTCTTGAAATGGCCAGTGGAGGTTTGGCCAATTAAGTCAGCTGCTGAGATTGCAACTGCTGCAAGAGAAGCTATTAACAGACTTCAGAGGAAAGCATTCTCTGCAGTACTAACCAGAAGTCTGGCTAAGAAAAAGAAAGGCTCCGTCCTCCTGGAGAAAATTAAAGTGGCCGTTCATGAGGGAGGAGGAAATGACCTCATTGCAGATTCAGGCAATTCTGCAAGTCAGAAGGAAAAGGCTAAGATTGCTCCATCTGGAAGGATATATGACTGCATAGTAGCAAGTAAGTTACTTGAAGTTGAAAGATTCAGCAAATTGTCCAGACTGATCAGAGTTACTGCTTGGGTGCGTCGAGCTGTGAAGAAGTGGCTGAAGATAAGAACTAAGACCTTGGGTTCATCAAAGTGGGAGGTAAAGTCTTTGGAAGAAAGTGTCAACGAAGCTATCTTGACGGTAAGAGAACAGGAGGATGCCCTTGAAGATCTCTTTCTAGCAGCCCAAGAGAATGTGATTTTTTCTGATACTACCCTCAGTAGGTTGGCAGTGTACAAGGATGAAAATTCTGGACTGTTTGTTTGTGGAGGAAGAATTCAAATCTTCAATGAGGATAAGACTGCAGTTCCAATCTTACCATATAATACATATGTATCTACACTTTTGGCTCAGGAAGCTCATCAAGTAAACCATGAAGGAGTGGCTGGAACTTTGTTGAGAATGAGAAGAAAAGCTTGGATTATAAAAGGCCGCAGACTAGCTAAGAAATCCGTAGACTGCTGTGTGACCTGCAAGAAGGCAAGGTCGAAGCAATGCCAACAGATTATGGGAGACCTTCCACCAGAGCGGTCAGAACCAGCTGGACCATTTGAGTTTACAACCTTGGATTTGTTTGGACCTTATTGGGTAAAAGATGAAATAAAGATGAGGGTGAGACTCAAAGTTTGGGGAGTTGTCTTCTGTTGTATGGCATCAAGGGCTATCCATACTGATATTGTCAGTGACCAATCAACAGAAGGATTTCTGCTGGCATACCAAAGATTCACAGCTTTAAGAGGACATCCTAGGAAACTGTGGTCAGACTCAGGATCAAATTTTATCGGGGCCAAGCCTGTTCTTGAGGATCTTCATAAGTTCCTAGAGCGACAAGACAGAGAAAAGTTAGGAATTGAAGCAGCCAAGAAAGGCACGGAGTGGTCTTGGAAAATTCACCCGGCAGGTTCCCCTCACCGGAATGGTGCAGCAGAAGCGGCTGTCCGTTTAGTTAAGCGGGCCCTACTGAATCTAGGCTGTAACAAAGTTATGTCATGGGGGGAATTTCAAACTTTTCTTTACACGGCAAGCAATTTGGTCAATGAAAGACCTATTGATGCCAGGACACAAAGTCGAGAAGACTGTGTGGAATATGTAAGTCCAAACTCTCTTCTCCTGGGTCGTACTGGGAGAAAGGGGGATCAAGGAAGTTTTGAGTTTGAAGGCTATCCATACAGAAGGCTAAGAATCATCCAGGAAGAAGTCAACAAATTCTGGAGAAGTTGGTGTCAGCTGGCAGGTCCTAACCTCTTTGTAAGAAACAAGTGGCATACTAAAGAGCGGAACGTTGCCGTGGGAGATGTGGTATGGGTGGCTGACCAGAATGCTCTAAGAGGTCAGTACAAGATGGCCAGAGTCGTCGATATAAATGCAGACAAGAAAGGAACCGTGAGAGATGTAATGGTCAGAGTATTCCCCAGCTATCCTGTCTCGATTGTTAAACCAAACCAAGCAGAAACCGGCAAGAATGTCAAACCAACAAAAAAGCATTGTGACAAAATTCCAGCTACGATTCTGCGTAGGGATGTGAGACGTTTGGTAGTTCTGATTCCCATTGAAGAACAGTAAAGACATTTCAGCTAAGAAGTGTGTGTGACCTCCTTCGGTCAGTTGACCAGGAGCTCAAGTGGGAGGTGTTAAGTTGAATTTGAGAGAAAGAAAAAAAAAGGAAAAAAAAGAGACATGGTTAAAAAGTATAAATTCATCATTGGTAAAGAAGATTTAAGATCAAAATGAGTGCAGCCTATTGGTTGGGAGCACATGGTGCAACCTGGGAGAATCAAGGTAGCTGATTGGTCATTGAAACTCCACATCTCCAAACTCCACCAGGTGTGTGTGATTACTGGGAGCAAGAGGGAACTTTGTTTGCAGTAAATGTGCTTCTCCTACTGAATTTGGTGGGTTTTGGTGTTCAAAATACCAAAGGAGAAAGACTGTTGAAAAGCCACAATGTTTCATCAACTTTGAGATGCAACTGGTAGGACAAAGACTTATTTTTATTTAATGACTACATATTTTGTGTATGTTTGAAAGGTGTTTAATGCTAGTAGCTTAGCATTTTACTTTCTAACTGCATAACAAGCTTCTTTATTTACATTGCTGTTGAGTTGCTGTGTAAATTGTGAATGTTTGACAATGGTGTTTGTACTTTTGTTGCACTTTGTAGTGACTCGTATCACATATTTGTTTCTGTGTAGGTTATTAAGCTAACCTTCTGGAATTATCATTGAGACAAGTACAAAAGAAGATCTAGTCAATGATGAGAGATTTTCAATAAACTGCTTCTATGATGAAGAACCAGATGGTTTGAGTTATTCCATGCACCTTCAGAGTTGATTGAGGCCTTTTTCAAGTTTGGGCAGACATTGAGGCAAAGAAAAACCCAGATAACTTGACAGTCACGATTCCCTTTTCAAGGTCCTGCCAATGAGTTGTAAACTGGGCAGTTTTGAACTGTAGTTCAAATCCTCAGAAGAAGCTAGTAATTGTACCCTTGGTGTGGTGGGGGATATGGTAGTGTTCCATAGCCTTATTAATGAGGCCATGCAGGATTGAACCATATGTGTTAACCAAGTCAAGCCAGACAACCATTAGGTTTCCTTTGTTCCCCTTGGCCTCCCGGATCAGCTGGCAGCACCCAGAAAAACCTGGAATGCCGCCCTTCTGGACTGATGTGTCGACATATTTATTCTTCACCATGTAGGTAGTCACCCTTTTTGCCAGGACAGAAAAGAATACCTTGCATTCAACACTTAGGAGAGAAATTGTTCGGAACTGACTCAGATATCGGAGGAGTCTATTTCCTTAGGTACAAAACACCCCTCTGCTCTTTTCCAGGATGCTGGAGTGATACCTTTTGACCATATCCTTCACAACAGTTTCCATAACCTTGGAGGAGCATCGGGCACCTCTTGTATACTTTATAAGGTATACCGCTTGGGGCAGATGCTGAACAGGCTTTCTGCACAATGTCCTGGGACTTCTCTCCATGTTGGTTCACTGGTATCAACCTCTTCCTCAGGTGTTTCAGCAGTTCTGCTGATCTTTGGGTGTGCGCTGAAGGCTTGGTTCCTGAGGGCATCACTGTGGCTCTCCTTCAAGAACTCCTCTACGACTACCTTAGGGCTAGTCAATCTTCCTGATCTTGTTTCCCCCAGCAGGGTTTTGGTAAACCTGTATGGGTCCTTAATGAACTGAGCCCGCTTAGCCTCCTTCTCCTTCCTCTGTTTCAGAGCCCTTTCTGCTCTTCTCAGTCTGCAGAGTTGCCCTCAAAGTCCACTTGTTTGATCTTTTATGCCCTTCCTTTCTTCAGAACTTGCTCTTCTGAACTGCTTATTGAGGGTCTTGATCTCCCTCCTCAGTTGCAAGATCTCTCTGGCCCTCCTATTTGGCTGATTTTCTTGGGTTCCTCTACCACCCTTTCTCTCTTCTGTGCCAAAGCATTATCTGGCCATGGTGATGATAATTGTTGTCATACTGTTGATTTTCTTCTCAGCTGATCCTGCTAATGTGGCCGCAAGAACTCTAGGTCCCCATCTAGTTGGTTCCATGCAGCATTGTTGTTTGCTTGGGACCATCTCACTTTCTATGTCATAGGTTGAGTGCCTGAGGTAGTGTTAGGAGAGTCCCTCCTGTGGCTTTGGGATGGAGTAGGTGCTGAGAGCTCTTCTGTGCTGTGGGGTGCTTACTGACTGGAGTCCTCCTGCATCTCACTTAGTGTCTCCACTATGTGCTGCATCTGCTTCTTCCCTTCTCCAAATTGGGTCTTGGATTGATGTATCTTTAGTCCCCTTTCGCTCTTGCAAAGCTTCCCGCAGTGACACTTTACTTCCAACACTTCCCCTGTAAGTGTGGTTTGGATTAGCCGTCTCGTTATCCGTGTATTTTCCTTAGCCATAACCGTTGTGTACGTTCTATTGGGTCTCTCATCCTCCCCCCCTCTCGGGAGACCCTGGGGCTATTGCTCATTGTTCCGTTTTGTAGCTTTGGTTGGTGCCCTTTTGGGAGTGCTGTGATTGAAGTTGCTAACCTCGCCCACCCCCGCCAGTCTTTCCTGGAGGTCACCTGTCTTTCCAACGTTACCAACATCTTCCTTGGTTGCCATCCAGCCTTTCCTGGAAGTCACTGGTGTCCCAGGAGAATACTATGGTCACTTTATGTTAACACTTATATGTTAGATGAAAATCATCAGAGTATTTTGAGTTTGTTTTGCTGTGATCATGCCGGCGTGATTGCCAACCCCAGAGGGTTAAAATATTTAGTTTTCTAAGAAACAATAATAGATTATAAACATGAACTACTTATATTATGTCACTGTGACATATTTCACTTTATGCATATTACACTTATATGGTTTTATGTGACTTATATGATTCTTTGTTTTCTCAAATCAGCAGTGGTTCTTCCAAAGGTCCTGGTCAGAGCGGAGAACCTGACGGCAGCGTTCTCAGTCTACATGGGGAATGTGACGGGCCTGTTCTCATGGGTGGTGGCCATGCCTCAACCACCACAACAGGTCACAGGTTATCAAGTCACATGGGCAGAGGTCATCACAGAGAGCCGCATAAATAATCTTCCCAACAGCCTCATATCTCAGTCTCAGATCCTACCTCCAGTAAGTCACATTCAGAACAATTGGTCACAAGTAGACAGTATGTTCCCTTGCATGGAATCCCAGTCAACCAGGATATATTTTGTTTTGGGCACTAGCATGCAGGTCGAGCAGCTAGATCACCAAACCAGCATAAAATCCATACCCAATTGATTAGCTTAATTCTGTTCTAAACTTAGTTCTTACTGTTCTTGTAACATGTGGTTGCTGTAGTAAACACACAACAATGGAGATTTCACAAGTTTGTTTGCTTATATAGCTATTAAGGTTAAACATATTGGGAGTAGTGGGACTACTAATGCTTGTAAGATGAGTCTAGTAGCAAGATGCCTAAATTATGTTGGTGGAGTTGGGGAGATGCCAAAATAGTGGATGCAGTTTGAACGATTAGATGGGTTCACTCATCCTGAAAATTTAAGGAAGTTTAAGAACTTCACTAACAAATAAATAGTATTTAATAAAAATAAAATAAATCCTAAACCGGAACACTTAGGAGATCAGAAGGATAAATATATCATGGTAAAACCACATAGAACGGAAACGAGACCGAACACTGAACAAAGGAAACTAAGGGCTTATAAACACAGGCAATAATCAAGAGAAAACAGAACAGGTATAAAGGTCTAATCAAAATCCATTGTAACTAATAAAGAGCAGAAAGTTTACGTATCTTACCGTCAAACATAAACTCTTGGTTGACTAACCCAAACCTTACTTACTCAATCTATGCTGGTTTCAAAAAACATGTTCAGGAGTAAGTTCAGCAAACTTTGAGTATGTTCAATGTTAACACACAACACATTTTAAATAGAGGGATGAATTGACGAGTCACAGTGGAAACGGAAAGGTAGCAAAAATATTGTTAAAATAATTAATCCTTAATGTTATGAAGCAAAAATAAAGACTTTATTCAACAAGTTCTTCTCTTTTGTGTCAGTCTCCTAAGCTGTTCATGTAGTAAACAGTGCATCGCTTCTGGGTTCTATGTCAGAACATGTGTCGTGGTGCTAGGCCAATAATGAGCCAGCGTTCTGTTGTGTTTGTTTTTTGCAAACAAAAAGTATTCTCGTTGCTTCATAACAGTAAGGTTTAACAAATTAAATTAAACATATGGGTTTCTATATATTAACTTAGAAACTACTAAATTTGGTTACTAAGCCATATTTGTATTCTATTATTGGCGGAATACAAATCGTACTTTTTCTTCCATGTGACCCAAGATTCATATCTGAAGTTCTTCAACATGTACACTACCATTCAAAAGTTTGAGGTCTTTCTTATTTATTTTTTGAAAGAAAGAATGTAATAGTTTTATTCACCAAGGACAATTGATCAAAAGTAAATGTAAAGACTTAGGGCCCTATCTTACACCTAACGCAATTGACCTTGACGCAATTGTTACTTCTCTGTCTTTTACTGCCCTGATGAGACCGTCGGTCTCCTCGGCTATGAACAGCTCCTAGGGTGCGCCTAGGCAAATCCGCCATTATAATAGCAATCCGCCATGGAACAAGCGAACATGCTTTTAAAGGAAATGTGAGATGACGCTCTGATTGGTTTATTTCACGTTATGCCCAAACCACACCTATGAGTTATGTAGCTACTTCAGACCAACCCATTATAGATTTGGGTCGAGATCCGCCCACAAAGTTACTTGCATTTTGCTTTTGATACTTGCGTTTCAGATCGTAAAAATATGGCCCATAATGTTACAAAAGATTTCAAATTTCAAATAAATGCTGTCCTTTTGGCATTTATGTTCATCAATAAATCATGCAAAAACATACATTACAGTTTCCACACAAATAATATGCTGCTCAACTGTTTTCAATACTAAGAAATATTTGTTGAGCACCAAATTCGCATGTTATAATTATTTCTGAAGGATCATGTGACACTGAAGACTGGAGTAATGGCTTCGGAAAAAAAAAATCTGCTTTGCCTTCACAGAAATAAATTACATTTTAAAATATATTAAATTATAAAACAGTTATTGTAAATTGTAATGTTTCACAATATTACTGTTTTACTGTATTTTTGATTAAATAAATGTTGATTTGAGCATAAGGGACTCTTTTTAAGATTTAGAATTTAATTTAGAATTTTTAACAACAGTGTATTTGTATTTTATTTCTTTCTCAGACTCAAATGATCTTGATTAACAAAAAAAATAAAAATAAATAACCTTCTCTTTCCTCACAAATAGGAGCGTAATATCCTGGTAGTTTCTGGTCTTCAGTTGGCATCTCTCTACAGGCTTGAGGTGCAGGTGATCACTACGGGAGGACAAGGCCCAGCAACATCCAGAACCTTCCAGACACCAGTTCACAGCAGGCCAGTCCTGCACTACAGTAAGCTCTTTAAACTTATGAGACCCCAACATTTGTGTACCAAATCACATACTATTTAAAAATAGCATAATCGCTCGTACTTTTTTCCGCAATCTTTTGTGGTATCTATATGGCACTGACCTCTCCAGTGCAAAAAAAAAATAAAAATAAAAAATGCAGCCATTAAATCTTAATAAGGGAGAGCTGAAAAGACATTCTTGTTCGTCGGAAGGAAAAGGCCAGAGGGTATATGAGGTCAAAAGTCTTGTGCAAGTAGCCCCAGCTCTTGATGTCAAGGTCAAACAATAAATCATGTAATTGAGATGAATTGCTTTTCCTCTCCTGACTCTAGTGTATATTTAACTTTGCAGAACCAAGAATTAAGAAACACCATCTAAGGTCTGTGATAGAACGGCACTGAAGACCACACTGCAATGAATCATCCTGGACCAGAACTGACTCCTCAGGAACATAGAGTGTCAGAAGAACCAAAGAAAAATTAATTGCAAATCGTGATTCAGCCTGAGCCAGTCAGCTGCCTCATACATTAACTCGCAAAGGGGACCTGATGTAATCAGAAGATCAAATTGTGATTGACGTTATGATATTTAAAGACCCATAAATTTCCTGTTGGGTGGGATCAGCTTCCACAAACTAATTAGTATTGAATTTGCAACAAAGACTTGGGCATCAAAAGCAAAAGCCATAGGATAAAAACATAAAGAAAAAGAAAAAGATAAAGTGCAAATACAAAAAAAAAAAAAAAAACAAACGAAGAAAAAATTTTTTTTTGAATTGCACATTCCCTAAAAGAAAAGAAAAAGGTCTGGTTACACACCCTAGACTCTGAAATGGACCCTATAACCCTAATACAATATTGCATGTGATGACTAATTTGGTTTAACTTGTAAATAAGCCTGACTCAATACAACTGTTTGTGGTTTTGCATGTGTTCGTTAAGCATGGAATTTAACTGTTTGTATCCCCATTGTGTCAATAGGAACAAATGAGGAATCAATGAAAAATATTCCTGCTCTATAAAAGGGAAAATGCCATTTCATTTTATGAGGGATTTGTGTGGTGTGTGCTCAATATGCTGTAGAGATATTTGTTTGCAGTCATGTAATTCCTGTATATACTGTATTTTTTTTATTTATTTATGTATGCAATACCAATGTGTTATGTGGATTTGTTACTGTCTGTGTGAGTGCATGAATGTGTGCGTTTGTGCGGGTTCCCCCATCATCATTCACAAACTGACAAACCCTTGCAAGGAGATTTTGTATAAATATATTTGTAAATTCCCATGGATAATGAATATTATGTACATATTTTATATGAATAAAGATGTTAAACCTTGTTTTCCCTTTACCATACTGGTTGTGTGTTTTGTAACTGCTATCAGGGTGAATAGGAAATCATGTCACACAAGCAATATTCACTAAAATAATTTCTGTCAGGACCACTATCGTCAAATACGATTGACAATTAGCATACAGTAAGGATTGGCGGAATGGTTCCGTTCTGGGGCGTAAACTCCCTGTGCATCCATGCATCCTAGCATGGATAAGAGCAGGGAGAGCAGCAATAACCAACCTTTGGGTAAACAGAACAGAACCAACATGAATGTATGCAGATAATATTAATTCAAGATTATAAAATATAACATTATTCAAGAATTTATTCCGATTCCAGGGGAATCAGAATGCCAAATCCTGATTGACGAGAGGAGGAGCTGGGGATGAAGGAGGGTAAATAGTTCCTGAGAAACACGATAGCTGTTGCTAATACTGAAGGTGATAGGCATCGTATTCCAATAGGTACCGTGAATCACCTGAGAGTCAGCTGATGCAAGCTTGACTAACGGGACCTGCCAGAACTGACGCTACGCTTGATGTATATTTACAATACACAAAATCAAAAATCAATATAAACATACACATAAATTTAATCTAATTTTATTACTAAAACACACTACAAAACAGTCAAGGCAAGGAACTTTTCCACCCCTTGACAATAAGAAGATGCAGTATGTATACATTATAATTGTGTTTATTTTTCATTACGATGCAAATGTACACACTATTTTGGAACAAAAAAAGTAATGAGATATTCTGTTGATGCAGATACATTGTCTTCTGCTTTTATTTCTGTTGTGGTTCAGTGTGTGTGTGTGAAAACAAAGAATTAAGCCCAATGCATAAGTGTGTGGTTACTCAAACATAGACATATGTAAGCAAGCAGGCAACCCTACCCTTGCAGCTCTATAGTCACTTTCATTAGAATTCAACTCCACATCTGGCCCTAGTCTCACAACTGAAGTGTGTGTGCATTCTTGCGCGCATTCTATGTGGCTTGTCGCCATTAGCCCTTCAGAGAATGTCTGACTAAAAAGACAGGAGTACCACAGGACAGGACACAACAATATTTGTTTATGTTGATCTTCAGTGAGAGAAAAAAAAATAGTCCATTCTACTATATATTGCAGGTCACAAAATACAATGCACGAGCAGAAGATTTTTAAATGGTAATGAACAAGCGGGTCTGTTATTGCCTTGTATTCCCTTTAAAAACTTGATCTTAACCTTTTACATTAAAATAAGTAAGTACAGTATACTTTCAGTCTACTTTTTATGTAATTCTCAGAAATCTAATTTATGTACTAATCAAAAATATACTTAGACTTTTCTGTCCGTATGAGTCAAGTATACTTATGTGTAATTTTAAGTAAATTTAACCTATAAATCTTTTGCTCGGCATATGCTTAAAAGTACAATTCAGTGTTTTAAGTAGGGCCTATACTTGTCTTGTAGTTGTCTTTTGTTGAGCCTATTAAATATTTTTTTATTTTTTTATTTTTTTATTTATTTGATTTGATTTTTTTTTTTTTTTTTGGTACACTGGTAGTGTACATAGGAATTTACCTCATAACTACTTCACTCTTTCCATGCCTTTGACGGAATTTATGACACAACACTTTCTCGCCATTGACAGAATTTTTAGGCAATACATGTTTTCACTGTTATACAATAGGGGGAGCTATTATGCATCTTCTGAAAAAATCTATGGATCAGAAACACAGGAGAAGAAGATGCAGAAACAATGGATAGAAGCATTGCTTATGCACATGTAAAATAACGCAAACATTGAACACCCAAGTGAAAAAAACTATACTTTATTGTATTTGAAATATATTCCCTTTTTAATAGTACATTGCAAATATACAAACAAAAAATGTACTGTATTTAACCCTCTAGGCGCCAAGGTCGAGTTTACTCGACAAGATGCGGCACTGAATATAATGGCTGATTTTGTCAAATTGGGTGTCAAATTTCGTTCAACCTCCCTTCCACTCATGGCAGACATATCATACTTCATCCCCGATTAAAAACAAATGTCATGCTTCCAGTGCGATCGAAAGCGGAGCTAGTGTGTGAGTGAGGCATTTTATCAGAGCCTCTCCGCAATCGCGGCAACAGTATTGTGGTGGAAACTTTGTCTAATACCACTGGGTATGTTAGACGAGGTCGAAGTATTCATAGGACAGTTAGGGGGCAACGTGGAGGCAGGGTGGGGAGTCGCAATGACAATAGTCTGAGCTGTGCACACTCGGCACGTGCGCGAGGCAGATCTGGCCACTGCTCATATCATCTCACTCATGATCTATGCCTTGCCGTTGTGAGCTTTTGAACTAAACAGGTTTTGTATACTTTATGTCATATGAATACTAAATATGTGCCCCATACATGGAATCAGAGTGGCTACTGTATGTAATAAATGGAAAATCTCTATAGCAAAAGGCCAGCCAATACATACAATCGGTTTGTTTCTACCATTTACTAGTAATGATTTGATAATGATGACCTGAGCATTCAGTATTGTGCTATATAGCATACAGAAGGTGGTGGACATTTTGGGGAGAAAGAAGTGCTGCATTTTATCATTTAATTTATCATTTCTATAATCCATGATTGCCGCGCCACCATATGACTTCATAATATGCAAATTAGATGGGGAAATATACATAAATATCCCTACATAAACTTTGGGTCATCCTTAATATTTCTCTAATTTACAGAAAGTGTCTATCTTTTATCACTTTTAAGATATAGCCTTTTGAAATCAAGATGTCAAAAAAAAAAAACTCTGGTGCTTAAAGGGTTAAATAATATTAACTAGGTCAACCAGCTTTACCATAAAACTATAGCATAATCCAATCTTGACCAGCATGGAAATTCATATTGGTCAAAGATCTTTTTTTTTTTTAGCAGGGATTTACACAGCGTCAGGCTATATGATGGATATTACATTTGGCTTGTTTGGATGGTGGGGTATGACTTCCATATGTAGTGCCTTGCATGTCATGTATGTGTGTGTGCCTGGTTTAAGATGAGACTTTGACATTATGGTTAAAATTTAAATAGTTCAACAAAAATTAACTGTGTATCTTATTTGTCTGAAGTCCCTGAAGGAGGGTCTGAAAAGTTGTTGTTTTGTCACATTGTCTAATAATGAGGCACATCAGTATCAACCTTATTGTTTAAAGTAATCATTATCCTGTCAATGATACCTCAGTGGATTTAGTTAAGCAGAAAATATTGCTAGCTATTTGAATCCAGGCATAGTGTTAGTATGACTGATATATAAAAAGCTGTCTGAATAAATCGATGGAGCTCTGCGTGATGCAGCTGGAGCGCAGTGAGAAAATTAGAGCATTAAATGGCCTGGTTGGAAGAGTCTTCTTGCTTCCTTGCTGAAGTGTTGAACTGTGCCTCAGGATTTATGTGTGCTCCTGGACTCTGGTGACCCAGAGACAGGGATTTAGAAGGAACAGAGAGAAGGAATGGTGGGGGCTGGAGAGTTTGGGAAGACTCGATCCGCTTGCAACACATTTATGATGCTCCAGAGAATGGCTGCAGAATGGTATAGCGAAAGAGTGTGAGAGAAAGGGAGACTAAAAGGGAAGCAGCATCAGGAAGAAGGAAACGAGGGGAGAGAAGTAGTGAAACCAAAGGGGAGAAGAGGGACAATGAGCGAAGGAGAGAATAGATGACTTCAGGGACTGAAAGTGTGAGCAGATGAAATATGTATCAAAATACTTCACACTTTTTAAGCCAGAGGGAGAAATGATATTTCCTCCTCCCACTTTCCCATGAGCCTCCCAGACGAGTTGCCTCACAACTGGCCGATCCCATAAGAAACATTTTCAAAAAAGATTGCACTCTGGCCTGTGTTCTCACTTACACCACTGCAGCTTCAATTCCAGCATAATGGTATCTGACAAGTAGCTTCTAGCTTTGAATCCGATAAAGAATGAAACTTGTCTCAGTGCAACACATTCTCATCCCAAAAAGTCATATAACTGACGTTTTGGGACGTCTTTTGACCATACGTCAATATTCGCCTTTTTAGGGCCCCCTTAAACGTCGCTAGATGGCGATCCCGGGCCGTCATACAACTGACGCTTTACCTTTAACGTCAGTTAGGTGACGGGTTAGGTTTAGGGTTAGGTTTAGGTCTGGGGTAGAGTTAGGATCCCATAACCTCATCTACCGAAGTTTAAGGGGGCCCTAAAAAGGCGAATATTGACATATGGTCAAAAGACGTCCCAAAACGTCAGTTATATGACTTTTTGGGGTGAGACTGCGCTGCTCAGTGAGTGTCCACTTTCCAAATGTTTTTCAGAAGTTTTTCCTCTTTGTCGCCATCTCTGTTCATTGCGTGACTACATTTAAAGCCCTTCACATACTTTGGGGTTCAAGCACGAAGTGACATTTAAAGTCAATTTTTTGTTAATTTTCCCATCATGCAACATTCTCCATGTAAAACTGATCGGGCAGCACCAACCGTAAGTCATAGAGACTTGAAACTTTGGGAGCTGGTTGTACTCACAACGCCTACAGCGTCACCAAGTATATGTTTTGTCACCAAGGACATTATGAGGTCACAGTAAAAAATAAAACGGTGTTGATTGGCCACATGATGGTGCTATAAAATTCAAATAAAAAGGGCTATGGCCACCTGACCATTAGTCCCTAAATTCTCTAAATTTAGTACAACTCATTGACAGCCCTACTAGACTCAATCCATCTAAGCTTAATAGTGCTACCTTGTTAGATGTCGTTCTCACCAATAGGGCTCATAAGTACACTGCGATAGGTGTGTTCGTAAATGATCTAAGTGACCATTGTGTAATAGGATGTGTGAGAAACACCAAAATACCTAAACTTAAAGGTCTCACTGTTTTAAGACGTTATTTTAAACACTTTTCAGAGCAGGTATTTTTATCTGATTTGGCAAGACTGAAATGGGATCGTGTCCTACTGTAGATGAAGCTGGTGCTTTTTTTTCAAGAACAGTTTTTATTGATT